CAAATGGAAATGAAGGAGGACGAGTTTCTGGTAGTGGGATCTATGGCGCCGACTTCTTCCAGTGCAAATTTATATCTGGTGGGTATAGTTAACAACATTGAAAAAAAGTGAAAAGGGATCGTACGTTGGTTTCGAACTGGATTGCGGCTATGATGAAGATGGGATGCGGCTGAAGTTAGAAGAGACAGTAGGGGCGATCCGCCCTCCTCCTAAACCTCCGTCGTGGATTCCAATACCGAAGGGGATCACAAGACACACTACTTTTATTGCTTTTATTTAAAGTTCTTAAAGAACTTTTACTATGTTATTATTGTGAACAATAACGGAAGGTGTTTTAGTTTTGGGACTAGTTTCTGTGATGATGGTTTAGGTGGAAGCGATAAGGCTTGTGTGGCCGGTAAAAGCTTCGAAGCTCTCACATAGTTAGCGATTAGTCTCGCTCATTATTGTGTGATCTATACTGTGTCTAATCAGAGAGCTAGTTTTTCTTTAAAAAAAAAAAGTTAAAACGAGAGAGTAAAGTCAAGCCACGAACGCTCTCTAGCAAGACATAATGACTACCCAAGATATATAAATGTCAATTAAATCTAAAATAACCTTTTAATGATTAATTGTGCTAATAATTCTCTTTCGTTAAACAGTATCTTAATCGAGACAAGGTTATGTTTAGGGGTGGAAACAGGCCAGACCAGAATTTTGCCTAAACAGGCCGGGCCTATTTTAGAATTAATAGGGCTGAGCCTGACCTGTTACCTGTTACAGGCCTATTTGTTCGGCCTGAGCCTGACCTGTTGAAAAGCCTGGTCTGGCATGAAGCCTGTTTAGTAGGCCAGTTAAGAAAAAAAATCAAAAGTTCAAAAAAATAAAAACTAAAAAGTGAAAAATCATTTTAGCCCGATATAAAACTTGTCCCCCCAAATATTTACTAAGAAGTCTAATAATACGTTAGATTTGCTTTGAATGTCTAATAATAAGTTAATTATGTAGCTTGTAAATTTTATGTACTTCAAATCTTGAAAAACTTTGAATTTCAATTACCCCATTAACACACTTTATATAATTGAAATAGTATTCTAATATTAAGTGTGTAATTAAGTGTGTATTTATATAATACACACTTCATAAAAATACTATTATGCTTAATTTGCTATAGTTAATTATACTGATATAATATAAATAATACAATTAAATATAAATATAACTAAACATATATACAAACATAGATTTAGGATCATGTGAGAACTTAATCTTATGAGAGTAAAAAAGAATAGATGTGAGCCATTAGATTAACTTCTAATTAACCGTGTGCCTAAATCTTCCTAGAGGGTATTGAAGTCAATACATTTCTTTCCAATTCACGCTCATCTTTATCTTGGAACCGTTTACCTATTATTTAGGAAGTGATAATATTCTCTCTATTAATTCCTTTCCAATTCACATTTCTTTCCATTGCTAATCTTCATCATGGACTCTTCTCAAGCAGGATGACTTTGGAACAAAATAATCTTCTCTCTATGGTTGCTAGTAAGTCGATTTAGTTTGCGTAATTGTTTTTATGAAGTTTATCAAACTTATAATTAACATCTATATCTCTATAATCATGGATTCTACTGATTATTAAGTTTATTGTTCCTACTATTCATGTTCATCAATTTACAGTTTATCTTCTCCTACTAGATTAGATTCATAATCATTTGAATATGATCGCTTAGTTTTTGCAGATCTTCATTGAAGAAAAAGTTTTTGATGCACTTACCATGTTTTGGTCATACATTTTCGTTAGGTTTTAATTTTTTTTTTTTTGCAGACATGATGCAATACCGGCCAATAGAGCAATTATTGTGACCCATTTGGAAGAAAAAGTGCATTTGATTTTGTAAAAAAAGTCGATGTAAAGTTATAGAAAGTTTATTATAATAGTGCACTTTTGTATATATTTCCAATGCACATGATAAAAGTGCATCTTGTTGTGTAAGAATGTGTATGCAAAACTCTAGAAAGTGTGATATAATTTCGTACTTTTGTATAAACGAAAGTGCACTTTTTTGTTCATTTGAAGTGCACTCTTGGTTAATACTCTTGTATATTTATTTTCGTTTTATTTAAGACCATCTGGTTGAGTTTAGAAATGCACATTGTAGGATTTTCTTAAAACAAAGTGAAAGTTAATAACATAAACGTGCAGTTTACAAAAGTGCACATTAATATAATAAAAGTGTTATTTTTTTACACATGTTTCAATGATAAATGGTGTTAACTACTTATAATCATATTTGTGGAAAACCCAAATATATGATTAAGTTGATGTTGCATAAAATTTTAAATAAAAGTACATTTATTTTATTCTGGAGTGCAAATACAATACATGTTGTTTTGATCAAGTACGTAAATAATGCAAAAAAAGTAAAAATATATTTATGAAAAATCATTTAAAAACTATCAAATTAAAAGGAAGTACGTATGGTAAAACAACTCATGAGAGAATATAATTAAATTGCTTTCCTAATTACTAGGAAAATTACAACTTCATAATAACAACCCCGGCCCTAACTTTTAGAGAAAGTTGGAGTTTATTTGTTGAAAATAAAAAAACGTTTGAGATATTTAAGGAAGGTGTTGACTTGTAATTATCAACGGCCACACAAATTAAAGTCATTTTACTTTAATGTCCTTTCATAATTAAAAGCATGCATTCAATTTTAATCACGTGAGGTGGAGTGTGTTTTTTTTTAAACCCAAGCCATCATCTAAGCCACACGATTACATTAGTCAATGGTTCGATTTTAATCTTTTTTACTCTCCTAAGAGGGTGTTCTCACAGGAACTAACCCCTACAAACATATATATACACATATAAATAGGTCGGCCTGATAAGCTAAACAGGCTTTAGAGTTGGGCTAAGCCTAACCTATTTAGGTAAACGGGTTTTTCGAAAAGCCCAAGCCTACTTTGATTATTAAATAGGTCAGGCCTTAAGCAGGCCAGGCCACAGGCCCTTGACAGGCCGTCTGTCCTATTCCCACCCCTAGTTATGTCATGTCATGTCATCCTTGTTATTCTCAATTAATATTTCTTGATTATCAAGTAAGATTAACCTTGAACAAATGACACTTCATTCGAGCATGACATGCCGATTAATCTTATTTGTCAATGAGCCCAATAGATATATTTTTCTCACTATATGAGAGTGACAAAAACTATCTTGATAATTCACATACCACTGCATTGTTCATAATATGTACAATCACCACCTTTATAATTAGTAATTTAAAGATAACATTTAATGGTGTTAATATATATTAATTATCATGTAAGTAACCATGATTATCTCAAGTATAAGAATATAACACCTCATCATTATTAAGGACACCACTAATGACATACTCTGTATAACCTAGTAGTATCCTCAAGTTGGGTTTGTCCAATGAACTTATTCACTAACCAACATTTATATTATTAACTTGATATCTCTATATCTATGACTAGTTGAATATAATCATCAGTTAATCCGCATACTAGTCTATTAACTATTAATGTCTCAAATTAATAATATTAGATCAAGGACAATTAGAATATTATGTTTATTAGAAAGTGTAACATTCCACAATTAAATCACATACTTAATTAGCTATTAAACATAATATTCAAGGAATAAATACTAATAAAGAAAACTCACAATAATAATTAACATAAAATGAGTTTTTGACTTTATTAATTAATGAGCATTAAATATCCATTAATAAATCATAAACTATGATTGTTTTAGGGCATATTTTCAATAATTGTACTCACTCCTATACACACCTTTATGCCCGCCCCTGTGCGAGGTTAATGTTCATAGACAAAACATGTCTGTTTTGGCTATTTTGTGTCTGGGAATCTGATTCACAAACAAAATAGACATGTGTTTTGTCTATGAAAATTAGCCACTCACTGGGGCACGTATAAGGATGGTATAAGGGATGAGTGCAAACATCATTTTTCTTAGGGTGGACATATCCATTTTTTGTTCGGTTTTTATAGGTTTCGATTCGTTTCGATTTGGAATTGGTTGAGAAAATTATTACCAAACAAAAACTTTTTTCTCAGAATTGATTGGGTTATTAATAACAAACCTCTTATTATTTGGATACAAGAGGCTTGATTTAGTTCAATCTAGTTCACTTTGAATTGGTTATTTTTTTTTAATAAAATATGAAAATTCGATTTGATTTAGGGTTGGTTTGCAAATGCTTTAAAAAAAGCACTTCTCAGCTTTCAGCTTAAAAAACACTTATTTTACCAAACACTACCAACTTTTATTTTTCTCGGCTTTCGTTTCAAAAGTGCTTTTACTTTTTCTATTAAACAAAAAACATTTATTTTACCAAACACTACTAACTTTTACTTTTCAAAATCATTTTTTTCTTAAACACTATCGACTTTTATTTAATCACTTGATTCATTTCTTCCCATTTCATTAAAAAACACACTTTTTTTAAATCAGAAACTGTTGCAAACAGACCTTTAGTTCGATTTAATAGGGACTATGATTTAGGGAATGTTCCCGAAATGGGACTAAAAAAGTTTGAAAATTCCAAAATAGGACTGTCATGTTTTTACTCCCAAAATAGGACTAATTACTGCCAAAGTTGGAAAATACTGCCATGTTTGAAGTCTGGTATTGCCAAAACATGATAGTAATTAGTCCTATTTTGGGAATAAAAACATGAAAGTCATATTTTGGAATTTCCAAACTTTTTTAGTCTCATTTTGGGTAATATCTTTATGATTTATTTCGATTAAACCAAACCAATATGTTCGTCTCCATTTTTTTTAAGGAAAATTTGGTGAACCATACGCCTGCCAATCATAGACTCAGTGGCGGAGCCAAACATTTAGGGTTAAAGGGGTCGGTCCTTAACAATTTTACATTGCAGGGGCCAACGTTTAAAATATCAACATACTTTCTACATATTAAAAGTATTTATACATAATATATACTTAAGTTTTTATTTTCTTGCAGGGGCCGTGGCCACAGCCAGCCCCTCCCAGTCTCCACCTGGATAGACTCTAGTATTTCTCATTTTCTATCTGTCTGACCACACACGAGAGAGTAATTCTGATCATCCGACTCACGGACTGGTCATGGCTAATTCTGTCGTCTTTCAAGTAATTGTAAGATTTTTTGTTCACCCGTTTAGTTCTAGTTTTTTTGCTTACTTAATCGGGTTTATCCTTGCAGGTTCGAGTTGCGCTTTCTCTCAATGGAGATTCGTCCATACGTAGAACCAAGTTTAAGGTTCTTAAACCCACTATTGTTCATGCTCATTAATTCCCCTGCAAGAAACCAGAATCTTTTATTAAAAGTGTAATTTTAATTTTCCGTAACCACTGGTATTTATCAATTTTGTTGCATTTCCAATTCCAAAATGTGGGTTTTCTTCATTTGACTCTGAATTATCTGTGGGGGATTAGAGTGGAATCATAGATATCTTAATAATGGGTGCTTTAATGAGCCAATAAATTTCAGGCATGCATTAGCTGTATAAAGTTGTCGTTCCCGACAGATAAAGTAGTGAATATCCAAAGCACATACAAAGCTGTTCAGCATTGTGATGTGTAATCTGTAATTCAAGAAGTCATAGAAAATAAAGCTCTGACCTTGAAAGTGAAAAAGAATAGTCTTGATTTTAACTGATTTATCATTTTATGATTCAATGAACAATATCTTCTACTCAGCTCTTCAACAACCTATATGCAAATTTTCTTTTTTGACGAGTTTCCACAGAAACAGTAGAGTATAATGGTGTTTTTTTCTTCCCAGGTTAACACCATAGGTTTCAGTAATAAATCAATGTCCGGTTTCCAACATTTTGACTTGAAAACATCAAATGGAAAATCCAGGAGACACTTTGTTGTTTGCATGTCTGTGCAACAAGCTACCCATTACAAAGTGCCTGTTGCACCTTTGTCCCTAGAAGATGCCAAAGAACCTCCATTGAATCTGTACAAACCGAAGGAGCCATACACAGCAACAATTGTTTCTGTTGAGAGACTTGTAGGGCCAAAAGCTCCCGGGGAGACTTGCCATGTTGTTATTGATCATGGTGGCGATCTTCCTTACTGGGAAGGACAAAGCTATGGTGTTATTCCTCCTGTAAGACATGCTTCTAATCTCGTGTGGTTTCTTTTACACTTTAACCTACAAAGTTTCCAATGTATTGATTCTTAGGCTAAAGTTTATTGATGACCGCATGATTTGTATAATGTGTGTGTCAACACATAGCCGTTTCTCCTCCTCTACTATAGACTATAGGAGTAGCTATCAGCTAGGTCAAGAACAATTGCAATTTTTCATAACTTGGGAATGCTTATACGAGTGTACTGGTATTTTATCCCCTAGCAATACTGACTTAGTAGTTACACAACACACATA